AGCATAGAATAGAATAGAATAGAATAGAATAGTTCAGGAGAGATTTGTGAAAAAAAGTAGCAAAGACAATAGAAGAACAATACAAAAAAGCAGTGCAGATCAATAGAACACAACACAACAGAATAGCATACTATAACATAAAAAACCATACAATAGAACAGCATAGCATAAAATAAAATAGTACAGTCTAATTACTATAGAATTAGGTAGGCTAAAATAGAATAATAATAATAATAATAATAATAATAATTATGAAAAACAGAGAATAGCAAAAAATCAGGGATTATGAGTACTATAGAATAGAATAAAAGAGAATAGAGGCTAGGGCATAAAGTAGAATAAAATAGAATAGAACAAAATAGTTTCATAAAGAAAAGAGAAAACAGCATATAGAAGATTTGGACAGCAACAAAACAGCAACAGAAAAGAAAAACACTACAGAATACAACAGCACAGAACAGTACAGCATATAAAAAGCATAGCATAGCATAGAAGAGCTGGTCTGACCAGAGCTGAGAACATAGCATAGCATAGAATATAATAGAATAGTAATTACAGTGGTATAGCAGAAGGAAGCATAGCATACCCTGGTGAAAATCTTTCAAGGATCTTCAAGGATCCATGAGGATCTTCATGAGGACCTTTGTGAGGATCTTCATCAAGATCTTTGAAGATCCCGGGAAAGATTTTTAAGGATCCTCAAGTATCTTAAATTTTCTTGCCAGGATCTTCAAGGATCTTGCCAAGATCTTGAAGGATCCTTAAGGATCCTCAGGGATCTTCAAAGTTCTTGACAAGATCTTTGCAAGATCAACAAGATCTTCAAAGATCTTGGCAATATATTTACAAGATCTTCAAAGATCTTGCCAAGATCTTGAAGGATCTTAAAGGATCTTCAAAGTTCTTATTAAGATCCTTAAAGATCTTTGAAAGATCTTCAGTTCTTTTCAAGATCTTTGAAGACTTTTGCAAGATCTTTTAAGATCTTTGCAAGAACTTTGAAGATCTTTGAAGATCCTTGAAGTTCCCTACAGACCCTTGAAAATCTTGACCAGGTTCTTTGAGGATCTTAATAAAGAATTTTGCAAGATCCACAAGAACGTTGGCAAGGATCTTGCTCAGCTTGTTAAGATCTTTGTCCAAATTGTTCAGTTCTAATAATTACATGCATTAATTTTTATCAGGTTTAAGGACACACGGCATGTCACCAGAAGAGCTTCATTGATTTTTACAGCTTTGAAGTTGTTTCATCAAGTGATATGGGAAAGAATGAAGCATAAAGCTTTATATCTATAATGGAGGTTGACATGAAACTTTGAATTTATTTCATGTAAGTAGTTGTGAAATGCTACATTTTGTGATGTCTCAAATGAAATAAAACAAAATACGTAAACAACCTTTCAAGAGTGCACAGTACAGATTGGAAATCATCCTCAAAAAAATTGAATATCTATGCAACTTGATGAGAACATAGTATTACCAGTAATTAAAAATTGCTTGAGTGAAACACTTTGAAAATTAAATACCTAGAAAATAGCCTTAAAATAACCATAAAACAGACATAAAATTGGGGTAAGTAGGAAAAAAACCTTGTAATATAGAGTAGGCCTAAGATAGTTTTAAAGCAGATGTGAAACACAGAAAAAGTATTTTAACATAGGTACTCAACCTACGTCTATTTTACCAAGTGACCAAAAAGAAAAATGAAAGAAATAAGAAAATTTAATTTAAGAACTCGCTGAGAAGCTTTGTCTTCAGAGTTTTCTTAAAATTTGCATGACTCTCGCATAGTTTTAAGTCTTTGTCTAAAGAATTCCATAGTTTTACTATTCTGTAATAAAAAGATCTCTGACCAGCAGTGGTTTTGCACAGGGGAATATTCAGTTGTTCTGAGTTTCTTGTGGTTCTGCTTGATATTTGTTGCCTTTTGACAAATTGTGATGTCAGATAAGTCGGGGCACAGCCCGTCATGCACTTAAAAGTGAAAACAGCGTCTCGGAGGTAAAGCTGCTTTTTTACGGGAAGCCACCNGATATTTGTTGCCTTTTGACAAATTGTGATGTCAGATAAGTCGGGGCACAGCCCGTCATGCACTTAAAAGTGAAAACAGCGTCTCGGAGGTAAAGCTGCTTTTTTACGGGAAGCCACCTCGAATTCTTGAGTGATGGAGTTATATGCTCAAATTTATATGTACCACTAATTATCCGAGCAGCGAAGTTCTGAACAAGTTGAAGTTTTTGCACATTACAAGCAGTGGTACTGGACCATACAGTAGAGCAATAGTACAACTTACTGAAAACAAGCGCGTTGATGATAGTCACTAATAGGCCGGAGTTAAATGCGTGCTTTGCTCGATTAATCTGGGCTAATTCACTCATACAGGATGAAACTGTCGCTAGAGTGGGTCGAATGTTACACCAAGATCTTTAATGGACTCTGACGGCAAGAGTTCCTCTCCGAGCAGCGAAACCTTAAAATCAGATAGCCTACAGATCAACGGGCGGCTACCAAAGATCATGAGCTTTGTCTTTTCAGGGTTGAGCAGAAGACAATTATCAAACCACCAGTTACGAATTAGATGTAAATCCTTTTGGATAGTGTCTTTTGCTTCGTCAGCATCACCAACTTTGCAAGACAAAAGAAGTTTGGTGTCATCCGCATAGCATTTGGTTGAACAACTTTCGCTGATTGCTGGAAGGTCATTTACATAAAACTAAACAGCAGAGCCCCGTGTACGCTGCCTTGAGGGACGCCACAAGTAATGGGTAGGGCATCTGATAACGTTGAGTTTATGCGAACTACCTGAGATCTTTGGGACAGATAGCTACAAAACCATGTTAACGCAGATGAGGAGAGGCCAATGTTCTTTAGTTTCATTATTAAAATTTCGTGCTTGACACTGTCGAAGGCGTTGCTCATGTCTAGGTACACTACTGCTGTAGCTTTAGTTTGGTCAATCGCTCGTAAGATTGCGTCTGTAGAGGATATTAATGAAGTTTCGGTTGAATGCCACTTCTTGTTTCCGCTTTGATTAGATGCAAGTCTTTGTTTTTCAGTCAAATATGTGAGCTGATCAAGTGCAATTTTTTCACACACCTATGAAATAATAGGCAAAAGTGAAATTGGTCTATTATTACTCACTACTTCGTGATCACCGTCTTTTGGAATTGGACATACCTCAGCCGTTTTCCAGACACTAGGGAAAACACAATTGAATGAACTGTTTATAATAGAGGTTATTGATGGAATGATAACAGGGGCAGATTCCTTTATGACACAGGATGGTATTTTGTCAGTGCCAGGTGCTTTGTTGTTAGCTAGTGACTTCACAACTCTTTCAACTTCACAATACGCGACATCGCCAAATGTAAATTGTTCCGAGAGAGGGTACTGTATCGGAACAAACGATGCATGTGAAGGAGTGCACCCGCATTCATCGGCAAGTGATTTCATTTTCTCGAGTGTTGTTTTCCCAACTGAGGTGAAGAATTGATTGAATTTGTTTGCTATAGTCTTGTCATCTTTACAAAAGCATTTTATGCTTGCTGATTTCTTTGGTATACATGATCGGATAGTCTTCCACATAGTGTTAGTGTCATTTGCATTTTGCCTAATCTGATCTTTTACAAAAGTTTTTTGGGCAAGTCGCAATTCCCATTTTACTTTGCGTCTAAAATTCCTATAGCCCGACCAAATGGCAGGATCGTTTGTTCGCCTTGCTAGTTTATGCCAATGATCTCTGGTTTTCATTAACGCGCAAATGTTATCATTAATAAATGGACAGGGGCAGGTTCTCACTTTAACAGTTTTAACAGGCGCGTGTTGGTCGAGGACTTGGTTGAACAGAGCATTAAATGCGTTCAACTTGTCTTCAGCATCATCAAAAATGTCGATGACTGACCAGGGGACATTTGAAATATCCTCAAGAAACACTTCCTTGTTATAGTTCTTGAAACTCCTCATGGTAATGTAAGTAGGCTTGGGACAAGGTTTCTTCAGGTGTAGTGTCGCAATGATGAGATCGTGGTCACTTATTGAGTGAGGCATGACTTTCGTTTCCGTGATGAGTGAGATCTTTGCTGTTAGTTAGTATCACATCCAATAAACTCGTGGAGAGCTCAGTTATTCTTGTTGGTTGGTTGATTACCTGTGTGAGGTTAAAGCAATTGCAAAAGTCCAGCAGTGCCTTCGTTTCAGGCTTGTTGTGTCGGAGCAAATTGCAATCGAGGCCGCCCAATATAAAAATTGGAACATTGAATGACATGGCTGATGTAAGCGTGAAGCTGAAATCGGTCTCAAAGCAGGTGACGGGTACATCATCAGTACGATAAGCTGTACAGACAATAAATGACTTGAAGTTCTTGACTTGTACCTTCAACCATAGCTGGTGTAGTCCAGTGCTCGATATGTATGATAAGTCGGCAAGTCTTACTCATTTTAAGCTGTTGTTTACAAATACAGAGACACCTCGTCCGATCTTACAGGTTCGGTCTAATCTGAACAAGGAAAAACCAGGGAATTCAACTTGTAAATCGGAGACTGAGTTGTTTAACCAGGACTCTGAAATGGTGAAGATATCTAATTTGTGTTTCTTCGCCAAGTCCTTCACTAGGATGAAGTGTTCTTTATTCTTCAGTGAGTGAACATTCAGGTGTGCAATGTTAACGCTTCGTTGTTTTCGCTTTGTTTTTGTCCTTGTACATGTATCATTGCTGTTACCATTAGTCATGCCAGGATTTAGTTCCACGTTGCCAGAAAGCATAATTCTCCTTGTAGAGTAAGTCGCCGAAGAATTAGGATAATATGGAATCTTCGCTTTCGAGAACGCCCGAAGTATTTCTGAACAACTGTATCAGTAAGTCAAGATCCAACACAAAACCAAAATGTTCTTAACAATCCCTTGGAATTTCTGAACAAATATCTGGTACTCTCAGAGGGCTGCAACTGTGTGTGGACTCAAGTCTATGAGAGTTGACTCCAGAGTCAGACTACAATAATTAAATTTTCTCCCTGTAAAAACATTGAAATTTTATAGTATGCCGATGGGTGAAATTTCTTAAACTACAAAGTGAAAACAATAATTGAAATTGCTTGACATTTTTAAAGAAAGATCTACTGTTTTTCAGCAGAAATTCTATTATTAATAATTTATCATCTTGTGCCTGGCATGTTCGAATTTGGCTTTTTACTCTGCTTCAGTGACTTTATAGGCCAGGCACAGGCTGGAAGGTATTAAGACACGATTGGCAGACATCATTTGTCTGAAGAAGAGATCCAGAGGTATGCAATAGATGGAAATCGATGATCGAAAAACTAATCGATAAAATTAGTAAATTGGTATCAATTGGTATCGGTCAATCGATGATCAATCGATAACCAAACAAAAACCGTTCATCGATTGCTATCAATTGGCACAGCTGCAACCTCGAACCTGTCCGATCATCCGCCATTTTTAGGAAGCCCAAGGGACAAAATTGTTAAAATAATTCCAACCCAGTCTTCTCAACGCAAAGAATATATCCCATTGCACATGTACTCAAATTACTCACTTGCCTGTCATTGCCTTTCTGTGTCATTATATATGTCTACGCAAGAAGTCCAGGAAGAGGCTTTACTGAATATAAGGTGCATCGCCAAAGGCTATCATCTTTGCCATTTTGAGGTAAACATCCATAAACTGTTTACTGCTGACAAGAGGGGAGAATGCGGAAAAGTGTTTAAAGTTGCTAGCCAAGCAAGAACAGGAACAAACTTTAGAGTTGTCACAAGAAGACGGATACCTGTGGACAGGGCGTGGAAGAGACAGAAGAGTTTGTGCACACGCACATTGAAAGCATGGCGGATTTGCTTTGATATTGAGTTCTGTCAGTTGAAAGATGGCTATAACTCACTAACGAGCTCGGGCACCCCAAATTTTTTTCCACTCATTTTAGTCGACTAATCATTAACTTTACGTGAGAAAAGACTGATCTAATTTCTATTGTTGAAAATTGAATAAATAAGGAAAATAGCAGCTGCACTGCTGTAGTCTTTTCTATTTTGCAGTTTGATAGCCATGGCAAGCAATTTGGTTCCAATATTTTAACAAGGATTCAGCTGTCTGTCAAAGTCAAACTTAAAAAGTTTATTTGTGTCCAACACAAGTATTGACAACACCGCAGTAAAATGCTCTGCGCATGAGTACAAATTTGAGCTTCCAGTCAATTACACATTTCTGGTTACGTATTAAAATCCAATGTAAACAAGATAAAATCCCGTACCGCAAAGTTTGAAAACTAAAAGTAAGAGTTAGCAGAAGAAAGTAGGGGAAAGGTTTCTCTCATTAAAAAGTTCATTTTTATTTTTAGTTTCAAGCGCTTGCACCAACAACAAAATATGAGAGAATTTCGGGCGCGTTTGCGCTCTACAAGAACAATTTTTTTCCACGTAGTTCTCCTTGTTGCGCTGGTTTTGTTGTGCAGTTCCTCCGCAGAAAAATGTGGAAAAGCCGACAAAAGCAGCTGTAAATGTGCAGGCAAAAAATATTTTCTGTCTGAAGATTTAGCCAGAGCTGCCCAACTCCAAGTGGGCTCAACAGTTTGCTGTGTCCATACGGACAAAATTTGGAGGAGCAACAACAGGTGCTCTGTTCCAAGAGAAGACCATTCGCGAGGCCTCAGGAAACAGCGAATTCCTGCGAGACTTTTTGCTGTCCTGGATGCCATAGGAGTGACATGTCATGGGTACAAGCCTGGTACACGGTAGTGCTACAAATGCTGGGCCAGAGTAGACAAAGAAACAAGATTTACCTCGCATCCTGACTACATGCTACCGGTGTTACGAACTACTGAACAGGCCAGTTAATTAGCCATCGCTTAATTATAATTGACACGCAGGTTCACACTGCCTTGGATTGCTGCAAAAATTTTCGGAATCTCCTAGCCCCTCTTTCAAAGATTTCAAAGATTTTTGTTGCAACAATAAACAAGTTGTTTGTATCAAACTTTGTAAAATTTGTGGCGAAATAGACACGATACCTAAAAATTCATTTTACATTAAATAGTTGATTATATTTCGTGTTAAATGATCTCAAGTCTTACGCATGTATGGTTCTCTACTAGGATGGAAATAAACAAACCTCACATGACAAACTTCAAAAGGTATTTATATAAAAATTATCTCTACTATTTTTTATTTTACTCCTCTTGACAACAGTACAGTACGGTCAATTGCTTCACTGAAATTCATTGTTGGGGTGTAGGTAGCAAAATGCTACCTCAGGTGGTTCAGTCTAAAATTGGTATATTTTGGAAAGAAAAAGGTAGTCACAGAAGTTGGGAAATATTATTTTGAAAAATTAATGGCCAAACGAATTTAAAGGAAAATAATAATTTTATAGACCGCAAAACAAGCACTTTATGCCACTTGACGAACTTCTTTTTTCTAAGACCATAGTAAGTAGTGGTAAGACCAAACCCCTAAAATTGAACAAAATAATTTTGTCTGAAATTATGTAATTACACATCACATATACTTATTGAAATTATGTAGTACTCCACTGTTGTCTCCACTCTGAGGATTCAGTTAGAGGGGTGTCCAGGAATCCTATGGACACCCACTTTTTGAAAAAAAACAACAACAACAAAAATTCACCTACTCCATTTTTCATTTAGTGAGGGGATGTGTTTTTTGGACATCCAATTTTCAGTATCTGGATACAAACAAACTCATCACTAATATGTGTATTTCTTTCTTTTTTCATTTAGATCTTGCGGTTTACTCGCTCACCAATTTTAAGACTAGACAAGAACTTAAAGCAGCAACACAGCAGTAGTGAAGGCCTCCAAAAAGTTCAGAACCACTTCCAATTGCTGTTCCAAAGACTTAAATTTCCAGAAGAGGCTTGTGGAATAGACTTGCAGTACCCAAAAAGCCAGCAAACATCCATGGTGGAAATAAACATCATTTGGGGTGGTAAAAATAAATGGCTATGGTGAAGTTACAGTGGATAAAACAGTTTGGAACAGGATGGCAAAAGTAATCCATGACTTTACTCAACTATCAGGTTAGTATCACTTACCTGAAATGTAAAGATACATACAAGTCATACAAGATACAAGTATTTTGAAGGATAATTAATTGACATCATGATAATCCATGGCACACTGCAATAACACCACCACCAAAACTCGTTCAAACAGATCATCATTATTTACATGTATTGCACATGGTCCATTGGCAGACTAGCAATACAAGATCATACATTTCATCATTGAGTTGAAGTCATCAAAAAGCACTAATGAGAAGGTTAGATTTAATTGTTTTGGCAATGATGTGGAAGAGGTTTCTGAAGAGTCTCTTGGCCAAAAACAATGCTGCATCAGACTTGCTACAAACTATTTTTTCACAAGTATTCAAGTCATATCCTGTAAATGATTTGAAAAACTGATAATTGTTGACTAGTGTCTTAGTTAACAATCAACATAACATACTGTAATGTTGTTCAGGTGACCAGTAAGGGTAACAGACACCCTTTCAAGATTATATTTCTGATACAGGTATTGTACTTGTGCAATCCAGTAAGTAAGAGGATGTCTTAAGACCACCACATGACAGTGATTGACACAAGCAGGGAATCAAATATTTATAAATAAATGAAATAAATAAAGTTATTTCAATAATTTATTTCAATAATTAAAATAAATATTTACATTTTCTTTCATTTTCAGAAAATTCATTTGACCAGCTGATCGGAAAATTTCAGATATCCTTGCAACATCATTATGAAAGCAGTGATGCTGTACCACTTTATGATCCTGGACAGATAAAAGAGTTTGCAGACAAAAGTGCTCCTGGTCTTTTCAATGTCATTTTGCAGTCTATTCTTTGGGAAGATCCAAGATTGAGTGAAGAACACTGTGTATTACAGGAAAAAAGAACTGTTGTTTTGTTGCACATAATAGCATATTTCAGGTACTTTGCCCTTTTTGGTCTTTATTTAAGTACATGTATTTAAAATACAAGTCTCCTTGAAAGACCATAAGGTCACTCAGTTTAAAAAGTCTGTCTAATTAATTACTGCATGTTTCTTAACTAGAACAGCAGATACAGCTTTACCCCAATATAAATGTCAGTTCTATTATAATTATAACAAGGTAAGATAACTACAGTAGATGTTTTACCTTTCTTCACATTTAACCCTTTGAAAAGTAAGGACATAAAAGTGGTTCCAGTGACCTAACTTGCAATAATATAATTCTTTTTATAGATCTCAGAAAACAAATACACCTCAAAGAGAAGAGGGATTATTTATCCAGCAACATGGGGCATCCAGAGATGTTATCAATTCTGGAAGAATTTTAGGTTTCAGCACAAACCCAAGGGATGTGGATGGTCAAAAAAGCAGGCTCCTCAGGGACCAGCCAATGTTTGTAAACCTTCAGATTTCAAATGCACTTCAAGTGAGTTTAAAGTGGTTTAAAATTTGAAAGCTATAACTTTAAGTACTGTAAATTAAAAACTTGTCCAGTTAGTTGAACAGTCTTTTGAATACATATGGATAGGCTAGCAAAACAGTAGACCAAGAAGGAAATACTAGGTTATTGTAAGATAGAAAATCATATTAGTCAATGAAATGATTGTAAATATTACTAAATTTATTGTTTCAAATGAAATCAGTGAGTTACTACACAGGTCTGATGGTGTTCTGCCAGAAAAGATACAAGTAAAAAGTAAAAAGTAAAAAGGCAGTGACTTAAAATGTGGATGATTCCACTAAAGAGGTGTCCACCTACAGTCCACTGTATGCATATTCACACATAAAAGCAAATTTTACAGTAAAAATACTGACAGATATTATTTTGATCATTGTTTACAGGACAAGAGCTTAATG